CTCATTTGAATGTGAACGTCAAAATTGATATTTACAGGTACTAAAATCTACATAAATTGAATATTTAATACATTTTATTTGAATACCTATTTATCAATAATTTTACTGAAGACTCCTAGATCACTTGCAGAGACAAAAAATTTTCTCTTTACCTCATAAAACACAAAATCTAGTTCCGAAAAGAACATGAATTCGTATTTATCATCTTTAATGTAAGTATATTTATGTGCATAATTAACCACAGTTTTTTTGTTGTTAAGTAATTGTTAATATATGAAAATGTAAATGTTTTAAATATTCCACTTGGGAGTATTACTGCTGGCACTATCTGTATTATAGGGGAAAAAAATGGTTAGGGGTGGCCAATGATTGGCTAAGGGTGGCCATCCCCCCCCCGGCCCCCCATCTAGCTCCGCCCCTGCGGAGAGCAGGGCACATAAAACGGGCTCCGCCTGCAGAGACCGTGAAAAGTTCCATTCAGTCACGGATCTTCTTTTTTCCCTTCCCTCCCAGCTCCTCATCCCCATTCCTCCCCCTTTCCCCTTCCACATACCCGTCCTTCTCTCTGCACTAAACCAGAACTTTAAAGGAAATGTATAAAAAGAGCTCCTGAGTTTCTGATTCTTGCAGAAATGTGACCATGAAGTTTGTCTGTTAGACAAGTATTGGCAGGAAGGGAAAAAAAAAAAACACTGCAGGCTGTTCTGTCATCCTGCTCAGATTATTCTCAGATCAGCTCCCTCGCTTCCCCTTTTTCTGTTTTCCTTTTTTATTTCTCTGCTATAAAATGAGTCTCTGGTGTTCGGATCCTTTCATTAGAATTCAGAGTTTCTATTTCATGGTCCAGTTGGATTAACAAGGAAAACCTCGGTTGCAAAACTGACAGGAGGTTTTTTTGTGGCTTCAAATTTGACTTCTAATAGATTGTAACAATTTTAATGGAAAACACAAAAGATTAAATTTGTTATTCAATTGTTTATTAATCTCATTTTAAGAAAAAAACAAAAAAAAACAAGTCTAGATGTTGAGCTCTTCCTTCACAGTTTGTGCCTGGGGGTTTATCCCGCCTCATGTGGAGAGCAGCTTTTTGTTCTGATTCAAGACAGACGTACACATTTTGTTCGTGTCACTGTCACAAACTTCAACATACTCTCTGGGTTAGACAAGTGAAGTTGAAATAAAAGAGGATTCTATTTTTTCTAACCGATAAAAATATTAAATATGTGAGAGGAATGAAATTTTACGCCCTTTACTCTGAAACCCTTAAATAAGAATGCAGTGAATCCAGTTGGCATTAAAGGTGACCTTATTAGTTACTCAGCCCCTAATGTGTAACGTAATCATAAACACAGCTCTTATGTGCAATTAGAAAACATTTATTTGTCTCATATTATACTAGTAAACATGTGGTAAAGTGTGCTTCAGTCAAAAGAGACAAAAATCCAACCAGAATAGGCAGCAAGCCTAAAAAAATCAACCAGAGCTACAACTAAACGGTTTCAATCAAAGCTTTATAATTCAAGTGTTATAATGGCCTAGTCAAAGTACAGAACATTTTGAGTTTTTTGTAGACACAAACAAAAACTTAGCAGTTACTTGTTGAGGCTAAAGTCAAAGGACATCCCACCCTTACTTTTCTTATATTGTAAAGAAATAAAATAAAACTGTATCTACTTTACACAGCTGTTTGGTAATTATTTATTTTCCAGATACACAGTATTTATAGTTTAAAAACACTTTAAAACCGAGGTCTTCAACAGGGGGTCCGAGACCCCTAGGGGGTACACAGAGGTTCTGCATGGGGGTCGCAACGGTTTTGGTTGATTGAACTTCTTTTTATATTCCCCCTGCAGTTTTTTCCACTAATTGAAATGTCTTTAAATACACATGAACATGAATTCAAAACACTGTAGTAAACGGATAAATGGAGGCAGAAGATGTCTTTCAGTCATCAATGATCACATTCAGCGACACACAGGAGCTCTTTCAAGCTGGGCACCATTTCATTCACAACACCTGTCCATCATCAACCAGGAATCAGAATCAGAAATACTTTCATAATCCCAGGAAGAAATTACTTCAGTTACATTACTCCATCTGTAATTTCATACAATATCAAGGATTAAAGTATATATATACATATATATGAGTTTCTTGCCTGTGTCAAAAAAGTTCAGGCTCAGGATTTATTTTTATTTTTGCTTTAATCCCTGCAATATATATAATTAGGGGGTCCCTGCTCCATCTCACCATACGTTTTGGGGTCCTTGCCCTGGAAAACGTTGACGACCCCTGCTGTACAGCACGGTATTTTATTTGTTTATTTTCTTAACTCTGTCACTCATTCGGTTATTTTTATACAGTTTTCTAAGGTCCATATTGTGTGACCACTTCTGC